AAAAAAAAAAATGCCAGCCAAACAAGCATTGTGTAACTTATCTTAATATTTCCTTCATCTCCACTGGTCTCATTTTACAGTAAGTATAAGACATGCAGATCTTCTCATGTCTATGGACAAAGGCTATGAAACTGCTCTGGTTTTATTTATTGTCACATACCTTTGAGTGACAGTAACTGCATAAACGATATTGAAATGGTCTTGCTATTTATTTTTTTAAAAAAAAAATATTATTGTTCTTATAGGAATGCATTCATCCATCTAGTCTGTACTTTTACACTAATAAAAATTAACGAGGTCCTACCATTTTCCCTGTTATTAGAATACACCTCAGTATCATTGATCATCTACATCTATGAAGAGTCATTTGAACGATCATCCATGAAGTCCCTTACAGACTTGTTCATAGCCAAACCATCTTCTCTCCTGTTATTAAAAAGATTAAAAGCTTCAAATATCATTTCTGGTATTTAAACTTGTATCTCCCCTGACACCAAAACTTAGTGTCAGTGTAAGTGGTGACTGCCCTACTATAACTAATACTGTGCACTTAGTCCTAAGAACTTGAACAGAAATGCAGAGAGCCAGAAACTGCAATCATCTCATGTAAGAAATTACCCTAACAAGTAATCAGAGCTGCAAAAACTTTTCTTTCTCTGCTCAAGTAGCTTCATTTCCTGAATGTTCTACTAAAGAAAGTCTGTAGAGATCTGTATCTTTATTAGCAGGTCTTTGATCCTTGACGATCAACTGAAAACTATGAAAATCCAAACTGCTTTTAAATGTCTCACAGGTATATTTACAAGGACTTTCTCAGTTTTATTCTTTCTTTATTAGCGAGTGATACTGTCTGGAAATGACACATGGTCCTGTCCTGCCTTTGCCACTCCAAAACTGCAAAAGAAACATTTTGTGGTTTGTTTTTTTTCTGGAGAAAAAAATCAAGAGTACATCTTTGTTTCCTAAATGAGATCACAATTCATTTTTTCTCTTTGGATCTATGTTTATTCTCTGACACCACAATGACCTCGAATGTGATAGCTTACTTTGAAGGACAACAATGGAAACAAACTCCTAAGAAATAGCTGCTTCTTCATGAAAAACTAAGGAGTGAGAAATCATAAAATATTTTATACCTTTCAAATGGGGAATGCCACAGATTCTTAGAGCAGAAGGAAATATTTAGTATTACCACTACACTCATGCAAGAAAAAAACCTGAGGCTTGCATTAGTTCTGCTGCAGATGATAAAGGAATTTCACTATTTATCAGATAACCAAATCATTCTCAAAAGACTATATAATTTCACAAATAAAAAGTTACTTACTCATTCTTCAATAATTATGACCAAAATGTACATCTGTACTGTAAACATATATAAGATCTGCTATTTGACAGTGGAACCTATTTTCTTCCTAGAGGATGTATCCATACCCTACCATCTTTTGCACTTGGCACATAACTATGTAAGACAAAGCACAGTCAATGACATTTTAGGGTTTTTTTTAAACTGTAGAATACTGGCATTGGATAACAGGGAGGGACTAGGAGAGGACAACATGAAGAGAATGTACCTGTGGACCACTTAGCTGGAAGCCCTGCGCATCCCTGTAAAAGCACAGTGCATGGTGAAGGTACATATAGACTTCCAGGTAGATGCCACGAATGATAAATCAGTGACAGTCCAGAAAAGTAATTCTAGCTCCAAAGATGAAACTTGGCTCCAACCTGGCAATCTCATTTCATTTTTTTCCTGCGGCCCACCATCCATTTGATCTTCACATGAACAGGGGCATTTTTCTGGATCTGCCAGATATCAGCAGTCAGTCTCACGTCCTATATGAAAGGTCCGGCCCTATCAATGTGAGGTGAAAGAGCCTGTTCAACAGAACGTGGGGAGGACTACTTTGATCTCAGAAATGTAAGGTTTGTGGGAAAAACACAGCAACAGGTAAGCTTATTTTCTGTAACAGTAATTCTGAAATCACCTTGGGAAATAATTCTGTATGGATCCACAAGGACACGTTCACCTGAGAGGTCATGCAAGGAAGAAACCCACCTTACCCTGGCTTAGCTACTTCCCTGTTTTCCTGTTGGAAGCAACTGCAATCTAGTTTTTGCAAAAAGATGGAATAGTGATCAGGACACTATGCCTCAAACAATAGTCCAAAAAGCATTTGGAGTATCAAGCTCAAGTTTTTGTTTGTAACTGAATCCACAACACTGAATTCATACAAAAGAAAACATTAAGTCAGTTCTCAGGCTAGGTATAGATTCCTGCCGATGCAAGGGTCCTGGGTCAACTGCTTCCTGGCTGGTAGACAGAAACCTCAGGCTCTATGTTACACAGCACATTGTCCCAGTGTCCTCTACCACCAGCCAACACGTACATGGGAAACTGAACCAAAAGGCCTGCAGAAGGGATGCACCCATCACAACTGACCTAGATGAAAGAGGAGGATGCAAGGGTATTATTAAAAGGACAGATGCTGAATGGGTTTCTCCACATAACTGGAGAATAACTTGCTTCTAAAGAAAGTCTAAAAGGTAACGACCTTTACACTAACCACAACCAGTCAAAGCATAAGTATACACTGCCATTTGTCTTGGGATAAACAAGCAGGAATTCACTGTGGTAACAGGATTGAAGTCCACCTGTAACATTGGATTCTCATGATCTGCAATTTGTCAAAAGGTAGTAACTCTTCAGCATCTGGTAATGATTTCTGTGGCCTGAAATGCAACGAGAAGTGATTTTTCAGCAATCATTCTCTGACAGATGCACATGAATAGACTGGAGGACCCAGTCTCTTGATGGTCCCTTTATCAGTCAGCTGTCCCAGGTACAAAAATAGATACAACTGTCCCAGGTGAGCAAATGCACTGGTAAACGCTATTTTAGCAGCAGAGAGTACAAAGGGAAACTTTGGTTTTTGCATGGTGTCCATATACTGCTAACTTCACCCTTTTAACTAAGAATGTGTGGATAAAGGTGTTGAATCTTCTTAAGCCATACCAGTACCCTGTCTAGGTTGCTTGCTCTAAACCCTTTATAGCTGAGGTGAAAGGGAATGGGTTCTGTCGTTCGCAGGGTTAATGAAGAGTCAATTTCCTTCAAGACAGATTTGTACAGGCTGGTTCTCAAAAAAACTCTCATAACAGGAGGTGAAGGAGAGGAACGGGACTGCTAGAGAACAGAAAGGTAAATTGGATCAAGTAACTTGTGGTAAGTGCCTAGAACCCAGAATGATCCCTTGCCACGTTCGATGGAAGAGAGCTAGCACGTTCCCAAAAGTGAGAGATGAAGAAGCAGATGAAAGCAACTGAACAGGATATTTGTACTCTTTGAGAATGTTTTCAAGACTGGTGACAAGATGGCAACGAGGGGGTAAGAGCTCACAATGACACCTGTAATTTATGTCAGCGATGACACCATCTTCTCCTTGCTGGCACAGACTCTGGGTGTGTAACGCAAGAAAAGTGGCCACTGTACCAAGCCAAACAGGCAGATCTACAGCTTCTCCTAAGTAGCTACAAACGATTCAAAGCAGGCTAAGCATAATTCTGGAACCCTTAAATGTAGGTAACTGTTGAGTGTCCCTGCAATAAACACAAAGGAGATGTCAGAAATTGTCAAAAAGGATAGCAACAATCTGCATCTAAGTCTTCTTTGGAATCTATGGGATGTGATTCTGCAAAGGAGACCATGTATCAGTGAGCTTGTCTTCATAGCTAGCGCAGCTGGTGACTCACCAAACAGCTGAAATGAACACACCTAACCAGCCAAAATTATTTAGGTACTTCAAACCTGCAGTGTGAGGGCATGGCTGCTCCGATTTCTTGTCCCTGCTGAAAGAATTAAGGAAGATGGAACCAGATGCCGAGTTGCTGCAAGAGGTGGGGGATCCCTTGAAGAATTCTTAAAACAAATGGTAGGACTGAAGGGCCTTGTAAAGCCCTTTAGGTTGAGTAGAAAGTTGTCCCAGTATCAGCTGTGTAGCAATCCTGAATGCTGACAAGAATGGAAATAAGATCTAATTCAGCATCCACAGAATCCTTGGCATTAAGTAAAAAAATAATGCTGTCTTTCATGTCAATACTGGAGTTGCATTTGGCAGCCCCAGGGGAGAGGCAGAACAACATTTCCGAGCACCACAGTCAGTACTGTTGACTGAAGCCAGGCAGGACAAAAAAACCCCAATTTTGATAGTGCCTCCCTTGCTTGTTTTCAGTAGGCATCAAGTGGCAGAGCTGCCAGCACTAACACTGGAGCAGATCATTTGGGTGATTTGAGCTTCCACAGCAGATTCTCCAGTGGCCAAACCAGAGCTAGAAATGGAATCAAAACAACATCCTCATGTCCATCTTTTTATCAACCCTTGAGAAGTGTGATGTTTGGCCCTCCCAGTGCTAGCTAACAGTAAAGATGGGGTGGCATACTCTGGGATGCCACTTCTGCGTACGTACTAGGAAATGGCTAGGTTTTGGTGCCCACCTCAGTTCTGAGGTTGATACACTCAATCGGTTTTAGCAGAAATATCTAAAATTTCAACTTCCTCTCCCTGCAACTGGGAAGTTCAGATAAAATCCAGCGAATTCAGTACCTTCCTATTCCCCCTCGCCTCCACTGAGGCTATATAAACACTAGTTATACAGCTCAGTTAAGCGGTATCATATGTTCCAAGTGACAGACAGATGGAAGATTATTTTTGAAGAAATCATCAGGAGATAAAAACTTTAACAGAGGAAGGCAAACATGAGAAGGAAAATGCATGTTAGACTCCTTTTTAAATACTAAGCAGCACAGCATCAATACACATACAATCACCAGAAAGAAAAGCGGCACATGTAATTCTGAATAACAACTGCATAGTATTATTCGGGCAGACTGTCAGTTCTTTCCACAATGAACAGTTTTTGGCATACAAACACCGTAGTCTAAAATTAAATGTAAAATAAACATTTTATACTGTATTACAAGAGTATATTCTAAATCATACCTCAGGCGCCAGGTATTCTGGAGTACCACAGAATGTTTTCATAGTTGCTGCATCTGTGATTCCTTCTTTGCAAAGTCCAAAATCTGTAATTTTTATGTGTCCATCTTTATCCAACATTAGATTTTCTAACTGTGTGTTGGGGAAAAAAATGTTCCCTTAGTATTTCTTAAGAGGACAGGCTGATGCATTACATCAAATTTTTTAAAAAGATACAGAGTTATTACTTGCAATAGAACATAATTTGTCTGTAATTTAAAAAAAATATTACGGCATCTATTACATTATAGCATTTAACAGTGTTTAGTTTTGTACAATTTAAATAATCATTTAATGCTCTATTAGAGTAATATTATTGTAAATAACAATGGTAAATCCCAGGTCAATTAAAGCATGGTCTTTCTTTCGGAAGTTTTACAAGTTTGGTGCATCTTCCATAGAAAGAAAGCAAAATATTTTTTAAAATATTCTCAAGATATAATCAAGTAATTCAAGGTTACAATCATGGCTGTCATTTGGCACAACTTCATAGGCTTCCTTTGCTGTTACACCATCTTCATTTACCAAGATGCATTTTACTTACTAAACTGTCATGAAACAGCTAGTATATATCCATGTTCTTTTAAAATAAATCTTTAAAATATCTGCATCTTCCACAACCTTTTCAATAACAGACAAAAGTGGGAATAGGGAAGCTACTGATAAAAACAAAGCCCCAAGGTAAATTCTTCCTTGTATACTTGCAAAGGATGCTGTTCTTGAATAGTTGTATGTGTATGCTTCACATTGCTTTTTAAATATATGATCCTTGCTTTGAAATGTGAAAACAGAATATAGCCTGTTAGGAAGTATTTAAAGAACAGGAATAAAAAATACTGCAATATTTACTGCAGACTATCTCATAAACATGGCTAACATAACTATCGCAAAAGCTTTTTATTAGCAATTTAAATACAGATACAACTAAAACCAAGTAAAACATACTCCTGAACAACTTTTCTCAACAGAAGAAGTTTGTGGTTTTTTTCTTATTGTAAGGTGTATAGTGAAAATACCAACCAAGAACAATCATAGCCCTGTCTTCCTAAGTCTGTATAAAGCCTGAAATACAGTTCAAAGGTATATATTATAAAGGTATATAATGGTGTCATACAAAGAAGATGCAAAGTGAATGGCACCAGTAATGGAAGATTTATAAAGTCAAATTCCTCTTTCCTTATTATTTGGAATTTAAATCAAAAATCATGACCTATCATTCCTTGACCAGACAATTCCGTATTTTTCCAAGATGTCACAGCATGCCATGTTATTACCACAGATTCTGCTACACACAGGTAACCCAGTATTTTGTTTTCTGTCTGTCTCCCTGAGCAGAACTTGCCTGCCATTGCCTCCTTTCTCCTCGGTTCCTGTACAAAGGAGTCCATGAACAAACTCCACTACTGTGCATGTGTAACAGGAAAGCACAATTTCCTGTACAAAAAAATTAAAGGTTTTTCACAGAAATAAAAGTCTCATCATGGAATTTAAAGGTTCCTCCCACAAAAGCTAGAAAATGTTAGTATTGAAATCAGAGGTCATTTTCCACAGAACATACTGTGTCACAGAATACCTGTAGCATAACGTAAAAGGAGCTTCAGGCAACAGAGGATACAGATCTGTGTATGCAAGCAAATCTAAGACAAACTACATTCCAGTATTAGGAATCTTTCCCAAGACACAAAAGACAAAATAATTTGGAAGTTAACGCTGACATTCTTTTCCTATTGAAGTATTCTGAATTCAAATGTTTTGAAATCATACAAGAACATAACTCTTTGCTGAGGTAAAGAGAATGCAGTCACATTGTCCCAATTCCCCGTTTCCCTTGTTAGGGGACACTGAGAATTATATTTGAGATTTGTGTTGCAATCCAAGTTAAATTAGAAGTAATGGGGGAAAAAAAAATATCAGAAGTTTAGATCTCCTTCAAGTGCTGTTTCTTTTTTTAATCAAGTTAGTCAAGTAATGTATCCATCTATAGATTACTCTATCAAATGGCTTCCTTCAGCACACACACAACTTTAAACTGAACACAGATTTTTTTTTTCCCCCATTAACTCTGAATAGTGCAACTTTATAATTACTTTGCATTTGTCCCAATAGTCTCTGCAAAAACAAAAATTTGATTACTTTTTTTTTTCTTTTTTTTACCTTGAGATCACGGTACACAATCTTCCCAGAATGCAGATAGTCCAGGGCAGAGACAATTTCTGCACCATAGAAGCGTGTGCGGTCCTCTGAGAACACCCGCTCTCTCGACAAATGGAAAAACAGCTGCAGGGTAAACAGCAGGGACAGGATTGTAATAATTACTGATTTAGTGGGGGAAATTAACACAAACATAAAACACCTCTCATCACCATATTGTGATGATAGATAGTGTACTCTCAGTGGACACTCAGCACTCTTAGACAGCAGCTGGCTTATCTTTTCCAGGTTTCCAAAGGGAGAAAGCGAGCTGTTAAATCAGCGTTTTAATCAATATACCAATCTTGTTTAAGGCATTCTGCTTGCTACTCATTTAACCTTCAGTTACCAGAGGAAAAAAAAAAAAAAAAAGTATGCAGCAGCATCATTCTATACTTCTGCCTCCACCACTTCCTTGGATTTTTATTTTGAGCAACTGAGAAATATCATTAAAATACTCAGATTCCAGTTCCACCTTAAGTTTTTCAGTAATTTAGTAACTTTTCTTTGAACTGAAAAAAGTCTAGTTCTTCAGTAGGCTTCGACTGAACGGGTGAACTGGCATTTCACAAAAACAACACATTCCTACTGCTAGCAATATTACCAGAAAAAGCAAACCAACACCTGCTTAGGGCTTATAAAAACAAATCTATGTATTTAGTGTATTTCTTTGCTACAACAAAAACACTTCTTTGGGGGTTTTGTCTCTTCTTTAATACTTTATAAGTAACAGTGCTTTGCAGACACTTTTTCAACTGAAGTCTTTCAGTGAAAAATATTAATCGTTACGTATTGCCAGTAACTTCAGCTGCAATGAAAAAGCATAAGGTGAAGTTCTGCAAGGCTATCAGCATCTTACTGGATAAAACAGCACCCTCAGAACCCAGAACAACACCTAAAAAAAGCAGAATTGGGCTATTTAATCCAAATGCACTGTAAAATGCCTAGTTTTATTTACTGCATTAAGAAAGCTTGGGAAAGTCCTTAATGAAAGATTAGTACCTGTCTGTATTCTGCTTTAGAGCAAATTGGGCCACCTGCCTTACCCCTGCAAGTTCCAGTGTTTTAGGTTTTACCTCAAGAGCTAACAATCAACAAAACAGAAACACAGAAAATGTCATCGTTTATAAATTATGGACAAGGAAATCTATAACAGCAATGTGGTTTAATTTCACTGCTAAAAATATCAAGTAGATGAGAATCCCAAAATGGCAGGGTAGGTACCAAAAAAAAAAAACCCAAAACCAACCAACCAAAAAACTATAATGTGCTTAATCTGTCAATACCACACCTTACTTTTTACACTTGTAGTGAATCTACACTGCTCACTCTGCAGCTATTTCAGTGTGTGGACTTTTCAAAATGTAATTAAAAAGTCAGTCCTATGAACAACTAAGAGTCAACTTCTTTCCTGACAGTTGCGCTTCAAAAAACGTTTACAACTTTCTTCTGTACCCAAACAAGCTCCCAACTAAACTGAGCCTTTTGGCAGCATGTATTTGTACCAGCAGACTCCACAGCAAACAGAAACTGTGGTACGATTTAAAGAGAGTATTTCATTTTTTGTTCATTGTATCTGCACTCCCCTTTCAATTTCTTTTTGAATTCTCATGACACCTTGTATAAAAATGGAATACCTGCCTGACAAGGAGGTATTTCAATTGCTCCTGCTGCTGTTTCCCTGTCTAAGCTCAGATCCCTGGTGGTGACATCAGCCCTCCCTGTAGTAACCTGCATCCTGTACTGCGGACTGCTTAATTGCCAGCGCAAACAGAGGAGCCATGCAGCCTAAGCGACCAAGTCTGCCTTCAGGAAGCGCCTCACACACATTAGAAAACTGGGAAAAGACCACCTGTATTTCTCAGTCTGTGGGGTCTTTTCCACATGTTTTTGCAAGATTTAAATAGGAAAAGAATACCGCTAAGCAGATCTTCATCCAAATAAAGCAAAATGCTAAATTTATGTAATTTATGCATTAATGCCTGGTTTGTAGTCTCTTTCATAAAGAATGAGCTAATGTCACTCATTTCTAGTAGTTTTGTTTGTTTTGATGGACTCAATGTAATTCAAAATGAAGTCCAACTTTCAGATCACTTTTTAACGCGTACAAACAGCAAACACATTCCAAAAATTTATAATATAACTTCCAGTCAGCCCTACATTCGTATCTGTGCAAAAGGACTACTGCAATTTTCTGCATGAGAGACTAATCCAGAAGCTGAGCAGCAATGTCTTAGAATTTTCTAAAACCTCAGCATACTTGTCAGCAACAGATGTATTAGTTTCTGTAAAAAAAAAAAAGTGTCCCAATCTGAATCTGAGAGTTGATAATCTGACAAGCTAACATAACTAAAGTTTATTTTCTTTAGTGTTTATTTCCAACAAAATATTCTTTATATTCATTCAAAATACTAACTTCAGGGTAAAATGACCAGCTAGAAACAACTAACAGTTCTGTTTGCCAAAGAGACTGAGTTCCCAAGTCAGTTTTATTTGAACGTTATATATGACACTACAGTCACTCTTCCAAAGCATTCTCCATATTATTATAGGACCTAGCAGAGTCGTCATCAAACCATACATGCTAGTTTTGAATGAAGAATGTACATTAAGATATAAAAATGCATGTTAAAAGTGAATTCATACTCAGATATATGCAAAAGATACTAAAGCAAACTTTGTAATAGAAAAATCTAATTCAGTGAGATTACAGCATTATTTTCAGCTAATTATTTAGTTGGTTCATTATTTTGCAATAATTATGCCACCAGGCTCTATTTACAATTGTCAGAACATGAAGATTAGATTTATTAATTCAGAGAAGGAAAAGAGGAAATCTGATGGAAGGTTATGAAAAAAGCTTCCAACATTTGCACTATTTATTGATTTACAGTTATTAAATATGTGCTATAAAGTAATTGGAATTGCAATAGAAATAGCTTTGGCACAAAGAAAGTCATTCTGCACATAACATTTTTGATGGCATACATGAGGGTGCTATAGTTACAGTGAGGATTGGAGCTATAAATTTCCTGGTGTGTCTTTATTTAAAAACTGAACAACAATGTTGCCATGGGTTTTTTTCCTAATAAAATAGTTTAATGGGAAAATTTTAACAAATAAAACCAAAGATCAAACATAAAAGTATATTCAACTCCAGATCCAAGCACGCCAAATATATAAAAAAACCGTATCAATCAATATGTTTAACTTCTACACATGCTAGCGACCCATTTAGCATGTTGAAAGTTGTATGACTGGCTCTTGCTGTTGTACACTGGGTTTGCTCAGCTCTGCAGTTAAACACATTTTATATTTAACTGTTGATTTGACTCTTTTGCAAAGCATTTGCAGTAGCAGCCTTTAAATTTTGAATTATTTGTTTATTGTTTCAGACTTTATACTACTTCTAGGCACACTCTATACCCAAAGAAATATAGCACCTCTATCTTGGACAACTAATTTTAGGCTAAGGAACATTCATTTACTTAAGAGTTAAAGGAAAACAAAACAGGACACAACAGAGATAAAATCAATAAAGCTTACAACAATATTCAGAGTTATTTTTCATTAGGTATGTTGTAAATCCTCTTTTTTTTTTTTCTAGACAGTAGACACTTGTTCAATTACAACAAACCATTTAGTTCTCTCTTGCTTAAAGAATTGAAGTAAGAGCTGTTGGGAAAAAAAAAAAAGCCAAGTGGAACACAGATTCAGAATTCTGGTGTGGATAAACCATCTGAACAAACTTTAGAGTCTAATTTTATTATACAGATAATTACCAATTAAGTTTGTTACATAGTACGGAATTTGGAATTATCTTGAAAGTGCAAAGCAAAGAAGTTAACTTATTAGTCAGCTGAATCAGTGTACTCTGCAGAGTAATGTATGTAATAGATTTCATTCCTAAAGCTTTTCAGCCTTTAAAGCAAAATCATCGAAATAAAAAATGGGAAACATACACTCCAAAAGTATTGCCCAGCAATAAAGCGTCATTTTTAGAATATAATTTTTTACACTACAGTTTACACCATTCTGTATGGCCTGGAAGTTGGGGAAACACTGTAACGTACTACTAACCTACTGCAATCACATAGGACTCAAAATTATATGGGTCACAAAAGGAAGAGTAGGCAAATCAGCACTAGCAGGAAAACCATCAATACAGCCTGACACATTTTCTCAAAATCCTGACAGGAGGACAGCAAAATATGTACAAAAATGAAAGGGTTTTCTTTTCCTTAAAGTAGACCTGTTTTCATCTGTAAGTACTGATATTTTTACTTATTAAAAAATATTTACATAAATATCCTATATTTCGAACCAAAGTAAAGAACACAGTTTATCACGCAATATTGCATGTACTTTTTTACCACACACTCATAAAATATAACACTTCAAAGTCTTGATAATGGAATTTGGTCATCTCAACTAAGCCAGATGAATATTTTTTTTCTGAAATCAAATTTCAATGTCTTGATGCTACTTTAATGTAATTCCTTCAGTATAGCAAAGGTATTGAGAAGTAATCACAATGTTAGAAGTATCCTTCCAGCTCTGCAACATAGTTTATGATCATTGCTAAACGTTTCATTCACAGAGTCTAACAGCTACACTAAAAAAAGAAAAAGTTGAGCTTTCAGCCCACAACAAAGATTTCAAGATTGGGCCCTAAGCAGCAGAAAATTAACTGTAAAAGTTGTCACTATAAGAAAATTAACATATTCAATATTGCTATCTGAATAGTTTGCTTGCAACTATCCTCTAATGATTTGTTGTAATATATTTAGCTCCTTGCTTTTCTTTTTTTTTTTTTTTTTACAGAAGTCAAGTGAACTCGAAATTCAATACGGTAATACTTTGTACATTGTAAAACTGATGCAGTTATTATAACATGTTTCCTTATTAACTGAGCCTAACTAATTTGAAGTTACACAGGCAAGGTAAAGCAAAGATAAATTGTTACTATTCTGGTGAGATATTAAATTCAACACAGATCTAGATTTTTAACAGGTATAGAAGATTCTTGTTTAGAAACATTTTAACACAATTTCTTCTCCTCCAGAATGAAATTCAGTGACCCCTTTCTTGACTGTTTTCCTTCCTAACCACAGGAAGAAGAACTGAAGATTCCTAGTACTGACTACACTTTTTATTACTGCAGTAGGGCGGAAGCCTAAATTGTGGCATTATCTTGCTTTCACCTGGGTGAGAGTCAAGAATACACATACAAATTTCAGAAACTCCTTCATTCGGAGGACTGTTTAGGTAATATTCTCCTGAAAGACATAACCAAGAAAATTCACAAGCAATTGACTCAGGCACAACTGTTTAACTAAAAAGAAATCTGTGAATCTAAAGGAATTTTAAACAGAAACACACTGAAGGTAGTACAGCTCTGGAGAGAACCAAAAGCAACATGGTACTGCTACAGCCAATTTCCCATAGGAAGGTTATAATTAAAAGATGAGTTTTCAACACCTTCAACAGTGAGAAACCATTGTAAGGAAATGAAACTTCCTTGGAACACAGAAAGAATAGTAGAGGTAAGCAGCAAAAGAAAAAAGTCTGTGTCCCACATAGGAGACAAGCTTACAAATGGCTAAAATGCTGAGTAAACTTCGTGCAACTTACTTTCAGCACTTCTGAGTTAGTAACAAGGCTATTTTTACAAATATGAGGTCCTTTGTATTTCTCAGTAGACAGTGATTAAAGTCTGAAATTCACAGGAAAACTTGGTAAGATTCAAGATTTTCCCATTAAAAGCGTGTCCAACTTACTAATTCAGATCTCTAGTCAAAGAAAAGCACATAAGCAAATCAAGAGTTTCTTCAAAGAAAACCGCCTGCTCTGAAAGGCCATTATTTCCCACTGTGGCAAAAATTTACACTGAATTAGAGAACCATCAGCAAAGAACATGAGCAACACTGACAAACAAGAGCATCATACCTGGGGAAAAAAGCAACCCAGTGTTGGCAAAGTACGTTGCAATCACTCAACTCCCAATAAGCAAAAGCAGGCTGCTACCAAGAAACCCATGACACAAAACGTTTGCGGCAGTGCCGCAAAGGTGCCAGCCAATGCAGAGGAATGCAAGATACAAGCCTGATCAAAATGCAGTGTCAGAGCATCCTCAGTCTTAAGAAAGGAGTTGAAAACATTCTCTGTAGCCTCTGTTCTGCATTCAAACAGGACAGAACGGTATCTTCCAAAAAGATGAGTATCTAAACGACAGGCCCATGTTAAAGTGCATCCCCCAGGGTTACAGAAATGCAGTAAGGTCTTACACCCAGAAAACTTAGAAGAATTAGCTAGTATATAAGGCATCACTTTTAAACCTCATTGCAGATAGCACTGACTTAATATTGGTGATGTCAGTTCAATGCCAAATAAGCCAGCTGACTGTCCAAGAGAAGGCGGTTAGCCCATCGCCGCTGAGGGAGATTTTTGTGCCTAGCTCACCAGGCCAAAACGGTTCAACACCTGCGATGCCCAGACCTGGGTTTACACACACTGCGCTAAACACGTGAGAACCCTCTAGCACCACGTTTAGCCACGGCTGGTGGAGGACGGCCATGGACCAGTTAGGATGTAAACGGGCCTCAGACTGGGCCCAGAAATCGCCAGAGTGATGAATGCATGACGAGCGCTTTGGGGGTGCTCCAGCATTAGGATTATAGTTGAAGACAGTTTAATTGTAGCAGAACACAGCAAAAGAATAACGCAAAACACAGTATCAAGCTGCAACAATTCCTGAATGAAGAAACAGTTTTCTGATTAAAAAAAGAAAAAAAAGCTAGTGGAACCACTTCGTCCTTTAACGTTACAATGCAGCATATAGTAGACAAAGTAAGGAAAAACCCCTGGTTCATGTTAGAACAAGATACAGTCTGAATAGCAAACAGCACCTAAAAGGTAGATAAAAGCCCTCTTCTTAGATCGCAATTCTCTTTAATTCCATTTGACAGGTATAGTTTTTGATATTCCATTCTTCAGTAAACAGCTGGAGGAGAGTAACGACTGAAAGGCTAATGACATTACAACAAGTTTAGCACTTAAGTTGGAATTTCCAGAGTACACAGCAAGTGAAGGGGACTGAAGTTAAGGAAAAATATGAATGCTCCACTCTTTTCTCATAGGTATTTGCAACAGCTATAGCAAAGAAGAGAGCACATATTTCACATTTCAGGAAAAAGGCAAGACTAGTCAAGATTATTTTTGCTTGTTTGTACTAGATTGTGACTGTTTCATGCCAGAACATGCTATAATATGCTTGAAGAAAAAACAATAAGCAAGCTACTTGTAATTATTTCTCTACCATGAAATTATCTTTCAAGATACCACAGTCTAATTTTTCAAGAATAGGAACTACTTTTGACAGCATAGTTATAATACACATCTGCATTTTTTTTTTTTAATAAAACAATTTTAAAAACAAACAAAAAACCCCAACCCAAACTCCAAAGATACTGGAAAGCAAAAAAGGCAAGAAAAATTACATCCTTTAAAGTGTAACCCAGTGACAGTGTTACTATTTACAAGTGCAGAACATCCTTTTTAAACTTACCTCTCCTCCATTAACATACTCCATCACAAAACACAAACGATCCTTTGTCTGGAAGGAATATTTCAAGGACTTGCAAAGAAAACAGCAAAACCAAACCAGTTATCATCTTGTATTAACCAAATTTCTTGCACTTAAAACTGTAATAAAATTTAATTTTATTCTCTCAAGCAGACAATTCTGACTTTCAGAGTAATTAAAAGTATAACTTCCTATCTGGAGCTTGAGATGAATTAACACAAAAGCCTTCATGTCTTCCCTCATCTCTGCCACGTGGCCATTGATATGAAAACAGCATGGTTATTATAATAAAATACTAAACAGTTACTAAAATACACAATTTTCTACTGCATTTCTTACTGCCACACACAGTACATCAGTTATTCTCATTCATCATATTTTCTGATGTCCACTTCCACAATGTCCATGAAGACAGAGATTACCATGCTCTTTTTAATTTCTCCCAAATAAAATCTTTAAAGTGATCTTAACCTCCAGCCTGCTTTCATTTCCAAAGCAAGGACTCTCCAGTTTCACATACTACGCAATGTTAAAAACAGAGTGCCAGATGAATATATTTATTTACATATCATTTTAAAATTGTAACAAATGGTATCATCTTAATAAAAAATTCTGGCTTATCAATGTTGAATTGATTTTCCTTTTAAAAAAACGATACCAAAGAAAATCCACAGATGCAGGCTTGGCCTAAAATAATTGAAATGCAGTAGAACTACATGTAACAAAATCATAAGGAGTCTCATGTGACTTAAATACTGCATGTCTTCTTAAAATATTTGCTTAATAATAATATCAGAAAGATATAAAGATACAACTACAGTGACGTTGCACGATTTGATTGGAATTACACCTACTCCTGCTTACCTTTACATTCTAATTTAATAAACTTTTGGAGATCTCATCTCTCTTGACTGAATTTCCAAGAATATTGTGGCCAAGCAATGTAAATGCAATCCTCTGCTTTCTACCGGGTTTGTTCATGATTTTCTCAATAGGAAAGCTTCCACGTTATACTTTGATATTTTAATACAAAAAGCAAAATAATTTTTCCCTATCTTAAAATACATGTTAATTATCTTTTGAAATCAATGAAAAGATTTTCTAATATATTCTCATAAGAGAAGAATCAGAATTACTTCTACAGAAGAAAGTCAGTTGTAAAATTAGAACTATTAATCATAACTTGTCATGAATCTCAAAATTTTCATCTTCTTTTCAATATTTTCCTTCTATAAATATTAGCCATATGAAGACAAAGATATTGAAGTAGTGGGGGTTGACTTTTATTGCTCCATGGGCTACTTATGTTGAACAAATAGTTATTTTTATCATTTTATTGAATTCTTAATTAAGTTTTCTCAGTAAAAATTACTTACTTGACACTATGTGAAATCAATAACTTTTATTAAAAAAGTGTTCATATACAAAAATTGCACGAGAGTTACATTCTACAATTAAATTTGTTTTCAGTGCAGTTAAGCTTTACAAAATTATTAGAAACTTTCTTTCTGAACTGTTAAATACACATTCTGATAAAGGATATCATAAGCACCAGATAGCTACTGTTTGTTTACAAATCATCATGAGAAAGACTTCAAAATTTGTTTGTAAATTAGGTTAATAATGAAACACCCATCATGTTGAAAATTAAGTACTTAATCATGTACTTAAAACTAATTCCTGATACTTACTGTTAAAAAAGGGTGTCTGGTGTTTTTCAATACTCTGCTTTCTGTAAGCGTATGAGCCACTTCATCCTGAGAAATAAAGTAGGTCTGAATTAATATATAAAATTGTTATTTGATTAATTATGAGGAAAAAGTCAACACCTCTGAAAAGAGAAAGCTGCAGTAAAGTTTTGGAAAATTAATGAACCTGAAAGAAACACAAAAAATAATTCATGTTTTTTGAGGAAAGATTTTATAGTAAATTTAAGTTTGGCAAAATGCAATTTAACATACTGTATTTATTTTATTTTTCTTATTTTCTTGCTTTAAAAATGAAGTCTTTATCTACAATGCAGGGAAGGAAGAAATGATATTATTGGATTTGATAGTTTAAAAATATAGTCATCACAACTTCACAGTTCTGGTATGAATCATCTGAGCATATCTACAGAGAGACTGAATCAATTGGCAAGAAACATCCACAGGTAGTAAATGACAGGCAGAGAGCAGGGGGTAGAGGATGGCAGGAAGAGACCTCACCCTGCACTACAATGGCGAGCAGCTCCTAAGGACTACAGAGAAAAGCAGGGATTTAGGAGGTTCCTATTAGGAATACAGAGGTGTTTTATGGAATTCTGTGTGAATACATGCTGTAAATGCCCCTCCCCAGGCTGCCAGGGGACAAACGCAAAAAGCCTGAGAGCCACCGGGGTGGTTTAGCCATTTTCTGTAGGGCTAAGCTACCACTGAGTATTCTATAGTACAGAATTGAAGACTAACTTAGCGTGACCCAAACTCCAGCCATGCTCCTGCAGAAGCAAATATATTTAGTCAGAGTATACTTTATTATTGCTACAAATAACACCAACATAACGTTATTGTACTGCACATGCTTATCAGGCTATGCTCTGAAGATAAGGTATTATTAAACTAGAAAGTAAACACAGATGTCAGGAGTTTTAAATTAGACTTTAAAAATTGTCAAAATAGGAAGTTCAACAACAACCACAACACAGTTAGTGGTAATAAATTATGATGCCATTTAGCTGAATAGCAGTGCAACACTCAGTGTATACACTACAATCACATACAGGGGGAAAACCAAAAAACACTTCAAGGAGAAAAGCAAGCCTGACGTTTTATTTATTTATTTTTAAAGCTCAGTGGTTTACCAGATAAGGGGCATAAAACCCTGGCAATGGCCAGTTTTTCTGGCATTGCCTCTGAAGTTTGTAATACTGGTAGCAATTCCCTGGTAAGTGTAATATTAATATGTCATGAAAATTTAGGATCAACAGATTTAGTCTGAACTGGGCAGATGCTATACAGCCTTCTAGATACAGCTGTCAATGCACCACTTTTCCGCTTCATATTATGCTGTTGCAGGTATGACCTTCTGTAGTGTATATTATATCATATCATAAGCTGAGTTGGGACTGCAGACCTATTCTACCTAGTGACCATATCCTTAGCACGGACCTTCAGAGTTACATGTTACTGATAAATCCCCATGCCATACTCACACATTGCCTGGGATAGACAGCTAAGTTCAGGCTCAAGTCTGCTTCTGTTTTTAGTTTGAGGAAGAGTGGAAAAACTGGTATTTGGTGACTATGGGGAACAAAACTTGATCGCTTCACCTGTGAAGATCTAAGCATAGTCTATTCTTCATTCTTTTGTCGGTTTCTTATCAATATACAACCATACTATGGAAAACTTAGGACGATTCCCTTCAAAACAAAATTCCAGTACTGAGGAAGTAAAATTTAAGAGACTGAGGTGCTCCCATTTTCATCACAGGATGAAAGGCATGTTTTCTCACACACTTAATCTTCTCGTTAAGATCAAGGCAGAAAAACAGACCCTGGTCTGCTCCAGGGAGTGCCAGGTTCTGCCCTATCTATCACTAAGCTAGCTTTCTGTTTTCAGGTAAACAGATCAATGAACAGTTGCATCTCTGATCTCTTCAAAATTTCTCTAGCTTTATACATGCTTCTATGAACAAGAATTTTTGCTCAAAAGAGAGAGGTAAAGTTATCCGAGAATCACTTTTAACCCTTCTAAAAATTCAGTGATATTGTAGCACCCAGCAAAGTAAAAGGGAAAACCCTAAAATTCAAAAACGTGTTTTTTATTTTATTGATACAAAGAAACAAGCTGAAATGCTTTGAAGGCTGGAAGGGTACAAACAAGCAGCAGCAGAACAGGAGCTCCTAGCAGTCTGACATAAGACTCCACCGAGGACCTCCTGGGTGCCACGGGTGAGCAGAGCACTGGGGGAGGGTGTCAGGCTGAAGACTGGGGCACAGCACGCAGCACCCACATAGACTCTGAGACCCACAGGGCAACCCACAGAGATTGCTACCATTTATAGTCTTGCAAGGAAGGCCACCGAGGTGCTCCTTCCCATGCAGAACCAGGAGAACGCAGCAGCGATACCCTCTTTCCTTGCTGTATCTCCTGCTTATGAAGAAGAAAAGGGCACTCTCTGTCGCTGTTAGTCCAAATCCTATACACTCCGACCAGCCCACCAGTGCATGCGAGACAGCTGCTAAGGGCACGCAGAACTCACACGTCTGTCTCTTCTCTGCTGAAGACATAAATTTAAGTCTCTCCTCCTGCACCAGGGTGGTTTTAATGAAACTCAAGGAAATATAATTGGTTTTGAGGTTTGTACTCCTCTATCAAATTTAATCAAAACTGATCAACACATTCAAAAGTTATTAGAAAGTGAGTGACAGATAGACAAATTAACATAGAGATAGGCTGCAAAACTCTGTAAGCCTTGTCTTCATAGGTCATTCGGAAAATTAGAAAAATCTGAAGGATATTTTACAATAAAATTTATGTAAACCACAGTAGTTCCTATCCACATTCAGTTTTTACAAATACTGGTATTGTTAGCCTCAAGCATTGAAAATTCTCAGTCAGATCCACATCCCTCAAAAACCTCCTTACTTAGCAACTGGGATTATTTTTAATTGCGTCTCATGGTGATAAGAGCATGTAGGTTTCTTGCTCTCAACTTGTTCCGTGCAAATGGGATTCAAAACTTTAGAATCGCTAGAAACAAAGCTCAGAGTAAATGACCTTCGAGTTTAAACTTAGTAAAATTATGACCGAGCACAAGTGCTAGTAACACTAAATTAATCAAGTTTAAGTGACTTGACAATGCCAGTTTAAAGCATATCTTCAGACATCAGCTTCAGACTCAAAAACTGAAAAAGTGAAATTGTTAGTCCCATGCACATCTAACATACCAGGAAAAAAGCACAGGCCCATTAAATTAATTGCATTTATCTGAATAAACCTGCAGTTGACTTAGAAAAATTTTTGATGTAATATACCCTACAATGCACTGGTTCTTGTTTTAAACTTGAATTACCCCAGTGAACTCTCTCAATGCTTTATCACACTCTAGATTATAAGACACAGGAAAAAGGCATGCAAAATGCTTTTTTTTGTACTCTTTTGTGTATCCTCTGAAGATACACACATATTTCTAGCAAACGCAGTTACCATCAAAAATCAAATACACCTTATAGAGTAGATATTGATTAGTCCGTTAAAAAATGACCCAATATTAAAACTATAAACTTCCTTACCTTTGCAATAATGACTTCTTTTTTCAAGATCTTCATAGCATAGTATTTCCCACTAGCCTTCTCTCGGACCAGGATAACTTTACCAAACGTGCCTTTGCCCAGTAGTTTTAAATAGTCAAAATCATTCATTGTCTATAAGGAGCAAAGAACAAAGGTTAGCAAGACTTATGCTATCCAGTTCCATTATGCACCAAAGTGTGTCCGCATATAACCAAATGCTGTTACCAATATAACAAGAACAGCTTACAAAAATAGGTACACTTCTACGATTAAGTTCAAATAGTTAACTGTATCCTTAAATCACTAGGATATATCGTTTGATACGATTAGTATAGTTCTCTAAAGTCAAGTACTGCACAGTACTACACACACGCACACACTTATTTTTACAAAGCACACACAGAACAGTCTTAGTCTATACCAGCATTTCGTGAATGTTCCACATGTAAGAGAGCTCATCAGCTCATGTGTTACCAGGGACACAAGAACGTGGCGTATCAGTAGGTTTTGCATAACACCGACCACTGCACTGACGGCTTTTTTGAAACATACATGATCCTCACTGCAATATTATACCAGTAAGACTATACAACAGTCTTTGCATTAGAAGTAGATTCGTAAAAATTTGAATACAGATTACAAGTTTTTTATATCAATCAATCTGGGTCTGAAAAGGAAGAGGGCAAGTTTTCCTCTTTCATATGATTCCTTCATAGTGACCATTCAAGTATCTAGGATCGCGTATTTTGTGCGTTAAATGTAGTACCTCCAAGAGCTGGTTGCACCAACAGACAATTTAAGTGCAGCAGGTTTATCAGCACTGGAGTGTCACACAGTGCAAGAGTATGACCAAGAATATGGTTGTGATCCAAATACTATGTGCCACTAGTACTTAATCAACTAAAGGTAAGACTTCTCACATATCACAGTCAGTACTTTGGAAAGTCAGATTACCTACTTCGATAGTTCAATAATAACCATCATGCAAAACCAACGGCCTTTGTGCTAAAGCAGTGAAAATTGACCCAAAAAAAGTGAAAAGTCCAAAATGCATTCAAAACACAATTCAGGCAGAAGATGAGTAATTCAGGGCAGAATGTTCCATATCTTCAGTCATAAGCTATCGCGTTCCCTGACAAAGAACGGCCAACAGCTTTATTGATAAAGAACACTAAGTTAGTGACTGTAACAACTTATCACTTCTACCAGTGAAAAATTCATGGCATCATGAGCAGCCTCAAAGGGGTAACTTTTTCCTATACTTCTGATCATCTTTGAGAGGCTGGATTTAGAGAGGGACCATCAGAGTCTGAATAAAATCAGCTCAGAAAAGCAGCCCTTTGCCCACACACAGAAGGAGGATCTTGGCTCGACTGATCACAGACATGGGTTTGATGCTAAGGGCAGCAAGCCAGTCAAAATGAAAGACTCATTCACCCAAAATTTGCTTACATAATGTTCATCAAAACAGTCATGAATCTAGCTGCAAGCTCAGTGAAAACAAGTTAAAAAATATATGTGTATTTATAAGAGGAAGGTAATAGCTTTGCAAGATTTTGAGCTGTGGCTTAACAGCAGGTTACGGTGGTAGTGCTAGTTCTAAGAATAAAGTCTCCTGATGCTCTCATTCTTTAGAACCTCAGCAGAAGGCTTAGAGATGATACGCAGTGCAGGGTAACTCAAAAAGCCTGCCAAAGAACACAAGACCTTGGGAGATAAAAACACAGATGCCATAGCTAAGGGTGTACTGAAAACTGGTGGAAAAACGGAAATACTTCCTAAACCTTAGGGATGTTGGTAAGCAAGTTTGGAGGCTCCTATAAGATTGGATTCTTTCTCCTTGATGATTTTCCCATCTTTTTCATTCCTACTGAACTCGGAGGATTGAATCTTTTTCCTCACTATGTTACTTTTTGGGTTCCTCTGAAAAATCTATTCTTTACTCATTCTGCACCCTGCAAATCAAATTTGTAAACACAAGAAAAGCAGTGAAGCTACAGGAAACTGCTCTAACCAAAGAACCGTATGATGTTCAGCCTTCTGTAAAGCCTATTTACTCCCCCATGGATGATCTGTTCAAAAGAATAAACCCTACTACAGGTGCTGACAATTCCTACCAAGGAACTAATTTTTAAAAATTCCCAATTTGCACAAAGATTATGCTGCTTGGAGTTTTTATCTGACTTCATCAGGGAGAAACTCTACTTACAAGGAATAGTACAGCAAGAAACAAAAGCAGTTTGCAAAGAATTTCTAGTGCTCTGAATTTTACTGATGCTATTACTGTAAAACTTTAGTGGCACATTGACACCATATAAAAAAATTGAGAAAAAAAAAAAGTGCTTTTGGTTTTTCTAGCTAATCTGTCCAGGGACGTTGCTGTCATGTCTGTTCAAATCAAGTTCCACATCCTAAAGACTGTTTTCTTTGTAAACCTTTTGCTACCTTTTTAGAGAAGAACAGGCCCACTCCTCTCTGTCTTGTTTCTTAATCTGATTATGCTCTTCTACTCATATGTATACCATCTGGTGCATGCACAAGCAAAATTCACTGGGCTTAGATGTAAAATCAGGTGACAAAACAAGCTTGTAGGACACATTGTGCAAAAAAAATCCCTGAAATGAAAAGAAATCCAGTACCAAAAAAAAGCAATAAAAATGCATTAAGTCATTACAACTGAAATGTTTCTGATTATATTAACAACTACACAAGCTTAAACTGAAGCTTTTCAGAAACATTTCTACAAAACAGAAACAGTTCTAAATATATATATTTTCCCAATTTCAATTAACATTGAGGGAGTGACAACTCCCTGTCATTATGGTCATTTAATATTTTTGATTCCAAAAAACTTCTGAGAACCTTTTGCTAAAGTCTTCCAACAGTCAGAAATCTGCAGTGGGTTTTTGAGTTTTGGCAAAAAAATATCCTTGCTGTCATCAGTACGCTCTTCACTGACTACAAAAACTCCATTCTGCTCTATTATTAGGTTTTGAATATCACCATTTTTCATTTCACCTTTGTTTTGTAGAGTTTGCTTTTGGCTTCTTGTCAAAGCCCCTAAATATTCTGCAGCACTGCACATGCACTGTCCCAGCATCTTATTTCAGCATTTCTTAAAGCGTAAGCAGCCAGACAGAAACAAAACTGATCTTCCTCCTCCTCCTGTTCCCACAGCCCCTTTTGTTGCATGGGAAAATGCACTGCACTGTGAACAAGGAAAGCACACATTCCAGACAAACTACGTACATTAAACAGCATTAATTCTGACACCTTGAAAATGCTTGTTGTTATACAGTGGTTTTGTACTCCACTAAGAGGATACGCAGGCTTGGAACAGTGTTGAGATCTTTAATAGAGCAAACCCAAATCCCTTGCACATAATCGCATTGCCTCTCAGAAAGACTGACACACCTCGAACGCTGCCTCTGTCTTGCTGTCACTTATCATATTTTACCCTGGAGCAGAATCATGAAACATCTATGCTGCAAGGCTAAATGTTCAATGTCAACCTGACAATGTACAATGAGAGTATTGTTACAGCTGTATATAATTAGTTTTTACCTTTTTCTATAGCCGAAAAAGGTTAAAAAATTACATACAATGAAACAACATGAAAGAACCGTGTTTGCACTGCAAACTCAAGTTCTCAAAAGGTAGGACATGATAGAACTAAGATTTCCTATGACACCTTTGTTATATTCACAAGGGTATAGTTTTCAGCCACTGATTCTTCTATGATTCTTGCTTCACATAGTGCTATGAACAAAACATGCTCTATGAGTAAAGGCACACGTTCAATATTTCTTTTCATTGTTCAGTACTCAAAGGCATTCAGTTACATTAGCTGTAAGATTATTTTGCTCTGTCAGCAGACTTCCACTTAGTTTTCTACAGGTTTTTCACTCCTAGCTAGAAAGAATGAAGTCAGTCCTATAGAAACAGGTTATTATTTCTCATGTAATTTCAATGCATTTCTTGAGTCATGTCAATCCTGTACAGTAAATGAGAGACATCCGTTTGAATGATCCATTCTTCGAGTAGTCTGTAACTACAGAAAGAGGACAAAATGGAAACACAAACTAATAAGCAAATTTTTGCGTGGCACTGAATGTTTAAAATATGCTCTTAGTTGTGTGTTTATCCTGTTGACTCTAGAGATAAAACAAGTATGTTATAGCAAACAATGTACATATTCCTACTTACACCAAAAGCTGTGAAGGACTGCAAAAAAAAACCAAACCCTCAAACCCAAAACATTGTTTTCTCTTACTTCACTGAAAACTAAAGCAGAGTTATTCTCCCAGATAGCAAAATCCAAGGCCATTAAAAGCCAAATCCTGCTAGCCTTTCTCATGCAAATTTTCTAATTTGTACTGGGTATTATTTGCATGAGAATGGGGGGCAAATCTACTTGTCTAAAGAAAATATTTTATTACCATACTTCTAAAAGAGTAAACAAACAAAAAGGAAAAGATGAATATAATATTCAAACAATAAGCAGAACGTTAACATGTGCCTGAACGGTTGAACTTTGTTTTTCAGGAGTGCTGTATCAGATAGCATAACAAATAAATAAAACTAAAGCAGTTCAGCTCTACTGAAATAAAACAAATAAGTACTTTTATGTTTGTAATACACTGAAATTTATGTAGAAATACTATTCCCTATATAGTGTTTTCCCCAACTAGACCATTCTACAGAAGTTATTTGTCTATTAGTCTTGTCAGTTATTTTTTAATGTCATTACCTTTCTTTTATGATGGGTTGTTGAAGCATCCATCTCTTCTTCTCCTATATTGTCTATCTGTGAAGTTGGACTACAGTTCATCCTCTCCTCTTCTTGCCTTTGAAGTCTGTCTGCTACAGCCTGGATTGCTTCTGTCCATTCTTCCCTATCATGAACAAGCCAACATCGCTATTAGAAACTCATAAAATACATCCAAATAAAAAGTTTATAATGTTTTTTACATGCTGCATTGCTTCGATCTTCAATTCTCATGTTACACAGCAGAAAACTCATGTAAATTAATCACTTCAATTTCCTTCCAAATTCTGCATTACATTACAGGTGGTGAAGTTGACCAGCATCAAAAAGGATCATTGCACAGTTGATTTCAAGAATTACCAGTGTCTGATTTTGTAAATATTTTAATAGTGAAAACTTGAAAACTCTTACTCCAGGTATAATACAGCTCAGAGCATAGAATGTCCTCTCCTATCCAATACGATCTGATAATAACTTGCTATTTTAAGAGACTTTTTGCTATTCCTCCTCCCTGCGAGACATCTTCACAGAAAACAAACGGGATTTATTAAACCACACTGTGTGTTCAACTCTTTGTCTGTCTCCTCTTAAAACTCAACTTGTTGGCTAATTTCCAGTTCCCCTGAGAAAGAGGCCCTCAAAGATAATTAAATTCCTACAAGCATCATAAAAAACCAGCGGCTGCACAGAGGGACGGGCCCGATGAGGGTTTCCGTGGAGGGACAAGCAGGGTCAGCTGAGCCCACAGCTATTCTGCATGCTGGTTAACCAGCACAGGTACACCAGCCGGCCCGTCAGCACCCCACAGCCCCGCACCATGTGCAGTATCCGCTGCTTTTTGCTCCGCCAGCAAGGGATACAGGAGAAGTCTGGTGGTATCAGTGAAAGACAATAAAAAATGTTTCTGTAAAGACATTAGCAACAAAAGGAGGGCTAAGGAGAATCTCCATCCTTTATTGGACGTAGGGGGAAACAGAGTGACAAAGGATGAGGAAAAGGATGAGGTACTTAATGCCTTCTTTGCCTCTTTAATAGTAAGACCAGTTGTTCTCCAGCTACCCAGCCCCCTGAGCTGGAAGACAGGGATGGGAAGCAGAATAAAGCCCCCATAATGCAAGGGGAAATCATTAGCGACCTGCTACACCACTTCGACACACACAAGTCTATGAGGCTGGATGGGATCCACCCAAGGGTACTGAGGAAGCTGGCAGAAGTGCTCGCCAAACCACTTTCCATCATAGGTCAGCAGTCCTGGCTAACTGGGGAGGTCCCAGTTGAGTGGAGGTTAGAAAACCATAGAATCATAGACTCATAGAATGGTTTGGGTTGGAAGGGACCTCAAAGATCATCTAGTTCCAACCCCCCTGCTGCGGGCAGGGACACCCTCCACTAGACCACGTTGCCCAAAGCCTCATCCAACCT